TCGCTGATTCATGCATCGTCCCAGCATGGACCATGACCAAGATCGGCGTCAACATTATCCCGCGACATCTTGGTCGTAGTCATCATGTCTCTTCCCTCGATGGCTGGCGCCGTCCTGCACGAACAAAGGCCCTGGCGACACCAGCAACGCCAGTCGGTTGCTCGCCTGCAGCTCTGGCAGGGAGTCGTCGGGGCAGGCCTCCACCAGGCGGCGCGTCGGGCTGCTGAGCTGCTCGCAGATCGCGCGCATGGCGGTGAGGTTCGAAGGCCAAAAGCGCCCGCAAAGTCCAAGCCGTGCGAGTTCGGCGCGCGCTCCGACTCGGCTCGAGCATGCGCCTTCTCGGCAGGGTCGAAGCGGACTTCCCGCGCTGCGGACTCGTTACTTTGCAGGCGCCCCGGGCTTCGAGAAGTAGTGGTTCGGCAAGATGGCGTGCCAGCTCCGCGAGGCCACCTCGCCCCCGCGCCCCCCCTCCACGAGCAGCGCCAGCAGGGCGAGCTCCGCCGCCTCCTCGCCCGCCCAGCCGCCCGCCCAGAACTCCCTGTCCAGGGCGCGCAGGTACTTCCCGACCTGGGGGTCCGCCAGAAGGTCCGCGTCGCCCGCCTCGGGCCCCTCGAAGCCGCGCTGGGCGCGCACGGCCTCGCGGTAGGCGTCCCAGCTGGCCTTCTTCTCGCCGAGGCGGTGGAGGCACGCCCCGCGGCTCGCCCACGCCCTCCAGTCCAGCGCGCTGCCCTCGCACTGCAGCACGAGCGGCAGCAGCCTTCTGGAGAAGAGCACGCAGACGGGCACAGCAGAGGAGGACAGCCTGCAAAAGCCCCTCGCACCCTCTGGAGCACCACTCCCCCCCCCCGCACGATGGCTTCTCGTCAGGGCCGCCCTGGAGGTCTGTGGGGTCGTCTTTCGGGGTCCGTCCTGGGGCCCTCCTGGCCCGTCTCGGAGCCCTCTTGGTGCCTTCTGGGCCATCTTGGGGCAGTCAAGGCCCTGGAGCTTCCTTGGATGAGAGGGGGGGGAGGCGGAGGAGGCGGAGGAGGAGGAGGAGGAGGAGGAGGAGCGAAGTGGCGAGAACGCGAAAACTGCTTCCCCCAGGGGCCTGTCGTACCACGGCAGACGCCCGGCGCCGACTTCCAGCGACAGCTGGCCCACGCCCTGGCACAGCTCCTCCTGGGCTCGGGGGCGTCCTTAAGAGGGGGGAGTCCAAGAGGGGGGTCAGCAAGTCATGGCCCGCGGCACGTGCGCGGACGAGGGAGGGGGCAAAGGACGTGCCGAAAGAGGATCGGCTGCACGCAAGAGCGACCCCAGGCAGAAGTGGCCGCTGGTGCGAGGCTGTCGGGTAGTGCAGGCCCGAGCGCGCGCAGGCCGCTGCCATCGCGTCGCCTCCAACCGTCTGGAGACCCCAGTGTGCCCGCACCACAGGTCTGCGTGAAGGGTGTGCCGCACTGGGCGCGGGGACGCCATGAGTACGCACCCAATGGGGGCATGGGTGGAGCTCCCTGTGGGGCTCGATCTGCTTGAAGGGTGCACCCAAATGGGCGCGGAGACGCCATGAGAACGCACCCACTGGGGCCGTAGGAGGAGCTCCCTACTGGGACCCGAAACGTGAGGGGTGTGCCGAAAAGCAGAGGCAGGAGAGAAGGAAGGCAGAGGCAGGGAGAGGAGGAGGAGGCATGAGGAAAAGGTAGGGCGCGGCGCTGCTGACTCAAAACGACGGCCCAATCACACAATAGAGTTGGAAGCATGAGCAGGTGGAGGAACAGGGGGGCAAGGAGATGAGGTGACACGCGCGGCGTTGCGGATTCAGAGGGACGACCCAACAACACAGCAAGGTTGGGAATAAGACGGCGAAAGATCTATATGCCAGGTCTCCTCCTCCTCCTCCTCCACGGCGGCGCCACCACGAGCCTCCAGGCCCTCACCGGCCCCACTCGCAGGTGGGCAACGCCCGCGTTTCCGGGACTGCATGGCTGCCGGGCAGGCGGGAGGGGCCGACCAGAGCCCAGGGGAAGCCACAGATCTAGTCCTCTCGCCGACCCTGCTCTCCCCCTCCACTTCCTCATCCTCCTCCTAGTTCTCCTCCACCCCTTCCCCACCTGTCATCTCAGCGCGAGTACTGCTACCACTACAGCTACTAGTGATGGTTTAGCCATGAGTGTTACTGTACCTACTATTGTTGCTCCTGTTGCTACTCCTACTGGTACCACCATCACCACCACGACCACCACGATTTACTTCTGGCACGGCTACTATTACTACTGCTGCTACCAGTGCTATCGCAGCTACATTGTTACACCTACTGCTGCTGCTGCTGCTGCTATACTGAAATGACTACTACCACTACTACCACTTCTGTTGCTATTACTACCACCACCACCACCACCACCACCACCACCACCACCACCACCACCACCACCACCACCACCACCTACTACTACTACTACTACTACTACTACTACTACTACTACTACTACTACTACTACTACTACGACTACTACGACTACTACTACTA